GGAAATTAAATTTATTGCAAAGTTGTATTGATAAAGAATAAACTAGTTTTATTTAAGAAAGGACTTGTATCGCTAAAGTTTCTTCGGAAAGAATTTTTACGGAAATTAAAAAACGAACACAGAGGCGTAACATTATTATATTTATATAGATCTTTGTTTTCATTAAAATAAAATGTTTGAGAAGTGCACGGATTTTCGTAAAGGAAGTGAACTCGTTCAACAAATGGAATTTGTTCAATTAAAATATTTTGTTTAATTAAAATAAATAAATGAAAATGATGTCTTCTGGAATTTAGCTTAGAGACGCTAAGATATAAGAAATAAATACATCTTAATATATATATATATATGTGTGTGTGTGTGTGTTTAGTGGAAAAAAGAAGACTATATGTAGTTTTAAATACTCTTAAATATTCCTTTAAATGCACTAAATACACATCATTTATGATAAAAAATACTTGCTTTTCTGACCATACCACTTTCCATTTTTTTTAATTCATGATGCCGCTTTATTCTTTTATGATTGAGCTTGTATATAACTCATACCTTATAGAAAATTAACAGTAAAGAAAAACTTCGTGTATTAGAAACTTTTTTCTGGAGTTACGTAGTCATTTTTATCGCTAAACTTGTCTTTATTTATATTTTAACATGAGAACAAAATCCCATATCAATAAAAGGGACGATGATAGATCATGACAACTAATCAAACTGTACAGGAGACGATTACTCTTATTTACTTTAATTAACTGACTATGAAATAGTTTCAACACTAATAAGAAGTTGAAAATACATAGCATTGTGTCCATCTAGTTTAAGTTTAGTTGTTCCGATTAACCTTAAAATAACTCGATAAATATGGTACTACTTCCTTTGTGAAACATCACATATGATTCCTCTTTAATAAGAGTCAAGAGACTAAAAACTAGCATATGTGCTCTTTCTCGGTGAGTAGAAAAGCGACGATATCAAGTAACAAACTAGAAAGATTCCATATATATTACTACCAAAACAAGCCAGCAACAAATAAGTCTCTTCTCCGCACCCTGTAGTCAAGGCAGTAAGGATTTTTAAAAGCCATCCGGGGTTTTTCCAAAAAAAAGGGCGGCCTGAAACCCACAAAAAAACAAACAAAAAAAAAAAAAACAATG